CTTTATTTTGAAGTGAAATTGACAGATTAAACTTTCAAGATGGCGACTGGGCGCCATCTGCGAAAAAAAAATGGAAAAGGGGGTCTTGTGACACATCATTTTGAAGCTCCTGACGAATACTTCGCAACCCTAGAATATGAAGTCAATGTCTTCACCTACTACAAAATGGCGAAACATTTAATAATTTCCTGAAGACAAACACTTTAATATCGATATTTCTGGAAATATTCCTTTTTATCTGCCATATGGCAATTCCAACAACACGATAAGTTTTGTTAAGTTATTTTTGTTTATAAAATGTCAGTACGACAATGAACATCATTGTTCAGTTATAATATTCTCATTTCTTATATGTTTTCCGAATCGTCCTATCTATGGAAAATATTTGAAAGAAGTATCCAAATTCACAACTACCGGTAGTGTACATAACAATAGTAAATCCTGAACAGTCTACTTATTCCGTCGCGAATGTTTGTGAGGTGTCTCCTTCTACTGTGTGGAGACTTTTTAAGAGGAATGGTACCTATTCCATACATAATTAAAATGGTACACCAATTAACTGAAGATGACACTGATCGAAGAACAGAATTCTGCGAAATCATGACGGAAACCATTGCAAGGCATCCTACCTATCTCCACAATATTTGTTTCAGTGACGAATGTACATTTTTCTTAAACGGCAATGTTCACAGACCAAATTGCCGTTATTGGAGTGACAGCAACCCTCACGTTTTCCGGGAAACGCATACCCAATATATAGAAAAAATTAACGTTTGGGTAGGAATATTGGGAAACAGGACCTCTATTTATTGATCAAAATTCAACAGGGAAACTGTATTTGAATATGCTGCAAACTACCGTTGACCCTCTCATCACTGAAATTGTTGAAGCGAATCCTAATGAATTCGATATGGATATTGTATTCCAACAAGATGGATCACCACCGCATTACTCCAGACAAGTGAGAAACTATTTGGATACTACTCTTCCCGGTCGTTGGATTGACCGTCGAGGTCCTACAGAATGGCCAACCCGCTCGCCAGATTTGACACCTTTGGACTATTTTTATGGGGCTATTCAAAGCAAAAGGTGTTCGAAACTGAACCTGCTTCAGTATTGCATATACGGCAGAGAATAATAAATATTTGTAGAGATATTGACGTTGCTGTGTTCGAAAATGTTCTGGTGAAATATCGGATAGGCTGTTCATATGTCAATAAGTTCAAGGCAACTATTTCGAGCATCTTCTGAACTGATCTCAAGCTTCTCATATTATGTAGTTAGATGTCAATGTATTCAGGCAATTATTAAAAGTTCCGCCATTTTGTACTAGTTGAAGATATTGACATCATATTCTAGGGTTGTGAAGCATTTGTCAGTCGCCATATTGAACGTTTCATCTGTCAATTTCACTTCAAAATAAGATATTCATGCATTAATTTCTTTGTCCCAAATTTCAATTTTTCGAGTTGACCCGTTCAAAAAATAAAATGGCGGGGCAGTAATGAAATGCCCTGTATGATATTCAATCTCCCCAATGTTTTGCAAATCAATATAATACTGAGACTAACACTTCTACAACGCCAGATAATTCAAATTTGAATATTCGAGCTGTAGCAAAAATGGAGTAATTTTCAAAGCAGTTTAATGACTTACATTGACTCCTAGATTAAATCATCATGATCTCTGTCCCCTCTTCGACGATTCGTCTGAAATTTCAAATGCTTTTCGAGACAGCAAAAAATAAATTCATACGGTTCATCCAGTCAGCTCAACAGACGAAACGAATGGATTTGGTTATCTACGTCAGCCAGTGTCGAGTTTGAAAAGTGGCCTAAATAAGCGGGATTTACCCTTTTATTTCAAACAGGCCAATCTGCCTTGGTGCTCCATATGGAAATCAAACGATGAAAATAAAAAAAGGTTTCGACGCAACACTGTTATAACGTAATGGAGATTTATTAGAAATAAAGTGATGCAAAATGAAGGTGTTAGCAAGCAATAGTAAACCAGTAAAATAAGCCACATATGTCAAAGTATATCGAGTGGTCTAACGAAAAGTATGCACCTTACTTTTCTCCTTTTTTGTAGCTAAACGCAAAAATGCTCGGACAGGTCAATTTTGCTTTTGAGGGGGACACATTTTAGATGTATTTTTCTACCTGTGCCTTCAACCCCTAGCGAGGGTGAGTAACAACACTAAAATTTTAAATGGAAAGTGGGGTCGAGTGATATATCATTTGAAAGGGCACAAAATTATCTTTCCAATGATATTTAATTTGTTGTATTTACTTGAATAGTTATAAAAAAAGCAAGAACATTTACTCGATATTTTTGGGGTTAATGAAAATGCGGAAAAAACGGCATTTTTATCACTACTACATTCCTCAATTTCTCTCGTGCGTTTTTTGGTTCAGATAAGTGTACAAAAAGAATTTAGGCAAACGTTCATTGATTCAGTTCGGTTGCTTTTGAAATTATTTCAACTTTACTGTAAAAATGGTTTATTCCATTCCTGAACGAGTTGAAATTGTTAAACTTTATTATCAACATAATAGTTGTGCTAGACTTACTGCTCGCCTCTTTAATAACAGTCATGCCGGGAAAAATGTGAATGATTCGTACGTTGCCAAGTTAGTCCAAAAGTTTGTCGATACAGGATCTGTCCGTAATGTGAAACACCAGCCACGGAAACCGATCAGAAATAAAGCAGTGGAAGTCGCTGTTTTGGGACATGTTGAATTGGATCATACTCAAAGTACCCGTCAGCTTGCTGAAGCCTCAGGTGTCTCCCGTTCGTCCATAATACGGATATTAAAAGCCTATAAAGTTTATCCGTACAAAATTAAATTAGTACAGGAACTTAATGAAGATGATCCTGATAGAAGGCTGCTATTTTGTGAACAACTGAGCCAGCTACTAATTGATGATCCGCATCTATCATTCAACACGTGCTTTTCCGATGAGAGTAAAATTTTTTTGAATGGAGCTGTGAATAGGCATAATTGCCGTTACTGGGATGACAGTAACCCACACTTATTCCGAAAGGTCCATACCCAGTACCCTCAAAAAATCAATGTCTGGTGTGGCATATTAGGTAGTCATATCGTAGGGTCAATTTTTATTCCTGGGAATTTAACTGGCGAGGTCTACCTGAACATGCTTGAAGATACAATTGATTCTCTCATAACAGAAATAATTGAAAATGACCAAAATCATAATGATGATCGGCTTCATTTCCAGCAAGATGGAGCACCTCCTCACATGTTGCTCCGGTAAGAGATATTTTAGATGACTGGTTTCCTGGACGGTGGATTGGAAGGAGAGGCCCCATCGAATGGCCTGCCAGTTCGCCTGGCAGGCTTTTTCCTTTGGGGACACTTGAAAAATAAATGTTTTGCTACGCAGCTCGAGTACATAGAAGATCTTCGCCAACGAATTACTGCAGAGTGCAGAAGTATAACACGTGATATGCTACAGAATGTTAGAAATAGATTTGAACAAAATCTGTATTATTGTATGGAAGCAAATGGGTCACAGTTTCAGCACTTGCTGAAGTAGGATTCTACTAAGTCAATTACACATTTCAAAGTACTGGGTTGTAGTTGTTTTCCTTCATAATACCTACATGTTTGAGTGAAATACAAAAAATTAGGTATTGTTGGAAAGAGAATTTTATGCCCTTTCAAATGATATATCACTCGACCCCCCACTTTCCATTCAAAATTTTAGGGTTGTTACTCACCCTCGCTAGGGGGTTGAAGGCACAGGTAGAAAAATACATCTAAAATGTGTCCCCCTCAAAAGCAAAATTGACCTGTCCGAGCATTTTTGCGAAAAAAGGAGAAAAGCAAGGTACATACTTTTCGTTGGACCACTCTGTATGCTTTATGTTGTACCTTATTTAATTACGTAAAAGCTAATACATTGAATATACCACTGATTAAAGAACACATAGAAACGTACCCAATGAAAACGTTAATTGTCCTAGGTGGATTTTCTTATACATATATTTCGATTTTTTTTTATTACTTCGAGTATTCAAATCGTCTCAGAGCAATTATCAGTGAGTTTCACTAATCTTCGTCAAATGTTTGAAATTTTTCCATAACTGTTGAGTTATTTGAACGGAAATTGACATAATTCAATTATCACAATTATCGCACTCTTGCAAACAAGTCAGAATATCGATATGTAGAATACAATGCAAGCATTTTGTATTCATTAGCAGGATTCGCAGGAAAAATTGAAAGATTCGAAGTTGAAAATTTTTGCACAAATTCTTTATAATTCGAAATATCTGGATGGAAACTATGATGTAATTTTTAAAATGAAGGTTTTTTTTAAATAATGCATGATTAACTGAATGCCTACATTAGTGAAAAAGAAATGCAAAATTCTGCAAAACAAAACAAGCTTTTTTGTCATGTAAATTTTCAGATGTAATGAATTCGTCGTTTTGCATTAATTAAAAACTTAATTTATATTTCTAGACCATGTCTATAAAGGCTATTTTGTTTCTGAAACCATCCTTCTCAAAAAGATAAATACTTAAAAACCTGTTCAATTATGCAATTTCTAAAACAAAAAACACTGAACACGTCAATAACACTTTCTCTTCGGCAGCTTATCGAAAAGGCGAGAGATATCTGAAAAACTCAAATTGTCAATTTATAATCAACTTCTGGCGACGTTTCTTTTTCACGAAGAGCTTCTCTAACTCATTAAAAAACTTCGGAAAACCTCTCGACTTTTCCTAATTAACACCCAGCGATGCCAACCAAAACAACAAATTCAAAACTTGTCGGTTGAAATTAATTTCAGACGATGTCTTTAGAAACATCAGGATATTTTCTCCATTCGAATTTTTCCCAACAAAAAACCAATGGGATGTTGTTTAATTTTATTTTGCAAATTTTTTCGATACCTGATGTTTCCCTATCACGAGAAGAAACATTTGAGACTTTTTGGCCGGATAAGTACATGTTGCTATTACTCACCTTTGAAGGGAAAAAATGGCATACTCGATTTCTTGTTTCGCTTTGTTTCTGAAAAAAAAACAGAAAGAAATTAATATATAGTGGTCAATAATCAGTTCATGCCAGTTTTTTAAGAGGTATAGGATTTGATTTTCAAAACAACACAAAAAATTTAAAAAAATTGATGGAATCTTTATTGGAATCGATGAAACGATCAATATAATTCAATGTTTGAAGATGATTTCATGCAAATGTTGTCCGCGGCTCCGCTTTAGATGGCCCATGCGCAAGGTCCAATTTTGGCACACTCTCTCTAACATATCGACCGGTATTTCATGTATAAATGCTTCAATATTGGCTTCCAGAGTGTCAGTCGTTGCTGGTTTATCCTTGTAGACATAAGTCGTAACATGAGCCCACAAGAAATAATCCAAAGGCGTTAAATCATACGATCTAGGCGGCCAATTGACGGGCCCCAAACGTGAAATAAACTGTTCACCAAAGGCGGCTCTTAATTGGGTCATTGTTTTGCGTGTCGTGTGGCATTTGGCACCGTCTTGTTGAAACCACATGTCAGGCATGTCCAATTTTTTCATTTTGGGCAACAAAATGTCGCCAATCATCACACGGTAGCGCTCGCCATGCACAGTAACGTTCCGGCCATTGTCGTCTTTGAAGAAGTACGGCCCGATAATGCCACCGACCAATAATCCACACCAAACAGTGACTTTTTCAGGATGCATTGGTAGCTCTTGCAACGCTTGTGACTGGTCTTCACTCCAGATACGGAAATTTTGCTTGTTAACGTATCCATTCAACCAGAAATGAGCGTCGTCGCTGAACACAATTTTTCGATAAAAATGTGGATCTTCCTCCAACTTTGCCAACGCCCATTCACCAAATGTTAGACGTTGTGGGAGGTCGTGTGGCTTCAGTTCTTGCACCAGCTGTATCTTATAAGGTTTTACACCCAAATACTTTCGCAAAATTTTCCACTTAGTGGAGTAACAGAGGCCCAATTGCTGCGAACGGCGGCGAATCGACATTTCACGGTCATCACGAACACTGGCGGATACAGCCACAATATTTTCTTCTGTCCTCTCTCTACATATGCGTGTTGGTGGTTCAATGTCCAATAATGTGAACTGGGTTCGAAATTTAGTCACAAGCTTCCGAATAGCTCCTTCAGTAGGCCGACGAAGCTGCCCATGAATTGAAAAAAGTGCACGATGCACTTTCTTCACCGAGCATGAATTTTGATAAAAAAATTCAATAATTTGCAAGCGTTGTTCATTCGTAAGTCGATTCATGGTCAAATTATAGACTAAACTGAACAAGTTTTACAATGACACAAGACACGAATCACGCGTGATCTGTCAAAAACAGTGTTGCCAAAAAGATACTAGCAAAAAAATCACTCAAAATCCAGAGTTCCATACATTTTGATAGATTTGATCAATTGGTTTGTTATATAATTTGATTATTTTCAATACCTACGTATTATTGTCAATTTGTCGTTGACTTATGTCGTGGTACAGATTTATTATATTCAGTGGAATTTTGATAGCATACATGTAACAAATTAGAGCAGATGTAACAACTTCAAAAGTCCTTATGCAAAAAGACTCTCGAAGAATACAACAGTATAAGTTTACTAGACCTGTTTCAACTCGAGATACAAAGTTCGTATCAAACTCCGTAGACCTCGACACCTTTCAGTCTCATCTGTCGTTCAGTCTCGAAACACAAACATTTTTTAAGGACAAAACACAAACACTACAGGAAAGTGCCTGTGCGAAAGTAGCGATTCACATTGGATTTGAGTCGCTGGAGATAAAATCCAGTTGGAAAACGTTCTCAGGAAGTTCTTTCCACATAAACGCAGATCGCCAGATGAATAAGTTCTTGAAAAGGTGCACTGAGGTGCACTGAGTTGAACCTCAAAACGATGAGCAGCCACAGTCCGTCGCGTGTTTCTGATATGTACCGCTCTTGGTGGAATCAAATGTACCAAGTCACTTGAACACTTCCCGTGAAAGTATCTTTAGAAGAGAAACCAATCTCCAATCTTTCTTCGATGTTCCAGACTATCAAGGTTGCAAGTAATGTTCACGTCTCCAATCAGGCGGATGGCTCTTTCCTGGACGGAATCCAGCAACTTCAGGGTATGTTTGGGGGAATCACACGTTAGAAGGTAAGACCTCGTTAGTCCTTAGCTCGCAGAAGTTTCTCAACTTCTGAGAGTTGCCATTCGTATGGGGGCGACAGCTGATTAACGGAAAAACAGATTTTAAACAGACAGATAAATAGAAATATGATGGAATCGGCCGATACTTGATGAAAATCCTGGGGCGTGTCTTAATGACACGCCCGAGGAAGCCATTGTATGGCGGAACACGTGTTGCGTTTTTGTAAAACTATCTAGTGAAAATCACACAATAAAGTGTTTTTAGAATACGTTAGATAAACAGAACTACAGAGACAGACGAACAGAAAATTCTGAGGTGTGAACAGTTTTCTGATTCGGAACAGTGTACCAACATTCTGAGAAGCAGCCTTTGCAATTCCAGAGGGTTACAGACCCCTCTAGTAAGTGTAATTTTCGACCTATAACAATTCCCACTATTTTCGAGAAGGTATTTGAAAGGTGTGTTTACAATAAAATGTGCTCATTTTTATCCAAATTCCGAATGCTGTCAAAATATCAGCATGGTTTCTGTCAAGGTAAGTCGACCGAAAGTGCTTCGTACAATTTCTTTAAATATATATTCGACTCGCTAGATGAAATGAAATATGTGGAAGCACTTTTCTTCGACTTATCGAAGGCATTCGACATTATTGGCCTGGAGATAATCGAAAGTAAATTATATTTCCTTTGTTTCCGTGAAAATTTCTCGTCATGGCTGAGGTCATACATGCGTTTCAGGAAAATATCAGTTAAAATCGGAGAGCATAAATCTGATTATCATGAGACGGGCCTGGGCGTTCCTCAGGGATCGATTTTGGGGCCTCTTATTTTTTTGTTATTCATAAACGATCTAACTGACTATATCAGTTCAGATTCAGTAGTTCTCTATACATATTATACTACAATGGCCATTGATCAAGATACTCCTGAAGACTTACAAAAAAAAACTAAATAATTTAGCAGAAGAACTCATAAATTGGCGTGAAAGAAATTTTTTAACTTATATAGATAGTGGAATGAGTTGGGAAAATAATATTGATGCCATAAACAAAAAAGTGGACACAGGTTATTATGCTATATTGCATTTAAAAAATCTACTGAAACATATCCTATAATCACCCATACTTGTCTCCCAAAAAAGAATTATTCGACTCATTTCCAATCTAAAACCAGATGAATCGTGTCCACCACATTTTCAAAAATATAAAATTTCAACAGTTCCATGTATTTATGTTTTCAAATGTATTGTTATTTACGCAACATGTTGAGATGTATCAAACAGTTTCTGATTGCCATGGTTACCCAAGTAAAAATGGAGACCTCATCAGAATTTCTGCACACATGAAAAACGCCCCTCATATACAGGTAAAAAGTTTTTCAATCATCTTCCCGCAAACCTGGAGAGCAACGATTCTTCAAATCAAGATTGAAAGTATATTTCCAAAACAAATGTTACTATAGTATCGAAGAATTTCTTGATGCAAAATGAAAATGTGTTTGCTCATATGCATGAATATAAATGAAATAAATGTTTTCATGTGTATGTGTACAAATTTATTAAATAGTGATATTTTAATATCGTTGATTGTTAATTTGTCTACCATCACACGGTTTTTTATTTGTGACGTATCCTATATCATGCTCAACTTTGTTTCGATATTTGAATAGAACCAAGTAAAATATGTTCAATCTCTAGTGAATACCTTCGATATAAAATTTCAATTATAAAAGTATCCCAAAGTTGAACGAAAAAGTGATTCCCGTTGGAAAAGCCGCTCACTTCAATTCCCGACGGACCACTACCTAATAACCTCCTAATATTAGAAAAAGCAAGGACCCAAAACCAATCTCAGTACACAACATACGTCCGCAGCAACAGATGTGTTTTCTCACAACCACAACACTAACAATGAGAACGAAATTCACTATCAACAGGTGTTCCATTTATCTTCCGAAACAGCCGTCACCAGTTCTTTTCACATCATTCTCGATTATCGATTCAAACCGTCTGCGCCGCGTTTTCCGCGATTTTCTTCCATGCGGAGCCAGGTTTTATCATCTGAATGGGTGTAGTGGACCATAGTAGCTGCTGGAAAGTTAAATTAACTTGCAGAAGATTTTTCATGACTTTATTTTCAACCTTTCAAAATATACTCTAGCTTTCGAAAATATAATGCCTTCCATTAGGCGCTTCCTTCCTATTTGAAAGACCTATTGATGTCATCATGAGGTTACTTATACACAAAATGTCTCTTGGGTTTTTTGCCCAAAATAAACCAATTCGCAGCAAAAAATTATTTTAGGGACAACTACAGAGATACTTCGTCATGAATGCAAAAATACGAAAGTAATCTATCTAGTAGGTCGCTATTAGCGATAGTGACAATTAAATTGGTATGACGCTGTCAGTTTGTAAATTTTCGAAATTGAATTAATACTAATTGTGTGTTGTTCTGTTCTTAATTTGTTACTTTAATAATTCACTTGTTATTATAATGGCATACACAAAACAGGAAATGACTGATATGCATTACGTTTACGGTCTGTCGCAGGGAATGGGTTAGAAGCTTCTAGAAGATATGAATATGAATATTTGCTCGACTTCATCAACGATTACGAGAATATGGTTCATTCGACAAAAGAACGCAGGATTGTGGTCGCCATCGAGAAGTACGAACACCACAGCTTGAGGAAGCAGTACTTAATTTGATTGAAGAACAACCTACTACCAGTACTAGAAAGATTGCTTTCCAGCTAAATGATGATCATATGACGGTATTTCGAATATTAAAGGAACAACTCTTATACCCTTACCATCTGCAACGAGTACAGGCACTGTTACCGCGAGACTTTCTGAACCGTCTTGAATTTTGCAATTGGA